AAAATAGTAACACAAAACGTGCAGAACTCACCGGACAACCTAATAGAATTAGCGCGGCGCCAGTTTGTTTTCCACAGATTGTTGAAACGTGCAAGCGACGACAAATCGTGAAAAACGGGCTAGCGCCGCGCAATACCTAGCCTCTGACTCGTACCAGCGTACGCAGCAAATACAACTGTGAGGCTTACATCCGAGAGAACTGATATGAGCACTGTTATAAACAACGTGAGATGTACAGAACGGGACTTCCGAGCCTCGAGGAATTAGGGGGGAGGGAGGATTGCTCTCCCATGCAGCTCAGCGGCGCAGTTCGGGGGCATTTTGCACTTTTGCTACTTCCCATAGACGTGTCGACCCATCTAGACAGCCTCTTCTCGAGTTGACAGGTTTTACCATGATGGCTTGACGAGCTTGCTCCAGCTTCACAAGAGTTCACAGGTTTCACCAGAGTGAGACTTGTAAACCGGAACTAGTGAAGCAGTGAAGTGCAAATGCCCCCCCCCCCACCCTCGTCGCCAAGCAGCGCCCAGCTCAGCTTTATGATATTCTGAGAAGGACAAAAGCTCTGTGATTCCGAACCCTTCCTGTACTAGGAGCTTGATTCCAGGTCCCCTGTTACTCCTGCGATCTGAACCAAACAGGACTAACTACCGTATTTTACTTATTACCTTCGAGGTGAGGTCGATGCGAACTCGAGAAAGCATCAGCTTGTGTAGTGATTAGCAGTATTTCTAGGACGTTTGTAGGAGACAATATGAGGGACGGCAAGATGGGAAAAGGCGATAGATCGGTGAATGACACCACAGCTACGCCATTTCACGTATGGCTACTGCACCAGTTGGGTACGTTTGGCTAAAAGTAGTACAATAGTGCAATAGCCTAGATTTGACCAAGCATGCCTAGATCTTCAGTTTGCCTTGTTCGTAGAATGAAAACCGTTTCTACTCAGGTGTTCGAGCTATCGAACCCGAATTCGTTTTCGGTCTGGAACGTGCCAATGGTGGACACTCAGCCGGACATCTACAAGCTATTCTTGGCGATGACAACGGGCGTCTGCAGGTACTGCGCTCACCATCTTGTACGCGTTTGATCTGTTTAGTTGGGTTGTCTGTGAGTTCTTAGCAAGCGCTCCTGACCCACATTGATACTGAAGTGCTATTTGATCCTTCGAAATGTAGAGTACAGTTAGTCCTGTTCTGACCAAGCATTTTCCCCTGAAATTCACGTCAGTCGTTGGCGATGTAATCGACTCCGTGTTAGGACTCCACTCTCGAGAACTTGATTTCCATAATTACCTTGTTTCCACTTCTTGCGACCATCGAGTTGCACCTAGGAATGGACTCTTCCTGCCTGTCCGAGCCTCAACTCTTCAGCCAATATTGTAGTATTCCCGTGCATCTCTGATGGGTGTCGGGAAATACAGCAGAATATAATCCACCAGTCGGATCGGCCAACTTCGCCAGCCGATCCTCCTTCCGTGTGCGAAGTGGTTCCCGGTG